CATGGGGGTAACGGCGGCCTGCCTGAGACGATGACGAAGCAGGAATGAGCAGGGGGTCTCGGGAGGCAGAGCAGGCGTGGTCCCCAGCGGTGGCCCATGCAGGAAAGTCTTGAGAACTCCAGGGAGCAGTCCAGGGCCAGTAGGCAGAATTGTGCCCCGACAGGCCCAGGACCCCTCCACCCTGGGGGGCCTCTGTCTGGCCAGGTACAAAGCAGAAGGGAGGTGGGCTGTGAGGCGAAACCTGGACCGTACCCAGAGGGCAGTGTCTCAGGGTTCAGGTCACCAGTGGCCAAAGGTGAAGGGGAGCTTTGTTTAAAGCACCTCTGTCGGCCTGCAGGGAGGCCAGGGCAAGGCGTGGAATAGGATGTGCTTCTGCACGGGCTCCCCAGCGGGTGGCCCTGCAGTTGGAAGGAGGGGGACTTGGGCTCGGTCTCTCCTGCTGTAGAACTTCTGGAGGTTCATCTTCCGGAGGAACCTGCCATCGACCTCCCTCTGTCGGATGGACTTTGCTGTCCTGGGCCTTGGGGACTCATCTTACGCCAAGTGAGTAAGGGCGGGCAGGCTGCTGGCCTGCAGAGACTTTGGGGTCAAGCACAAGGTGTCCTGGCAGAGGGCTGGGTGACCCATCCCCCAGGGCTCCGACTTTGGGATGTGGCCCTGGCCATGCGACCTCGTCCCACAGATACTCTCTGGCGGGCACTTCCTCGGTGGCCAGAGGCCCCAGGGCTTGGAGGGCAGGCAAGATCCATGCAGGAAGTGGGCAGGGCAGCAAGGTGGGCGCCAGGCTGGGGCCACGCCCAAGGCACCTTCCAGGGCAGGAGGTGATGTTTGGAGGCGACGTCCAAGGTCTGAGCCAGCATCATCTGTCACCGTGTGATGTAGGGCAACAAAGGCCTACCTGGCTCTTCCCCCACTTTTATAAAAAGCCTTTCGTGAGACATTTGGGCTTGCGAAGAGCACTCAGAACAGTGAGCTGCAAACAGGCAGCAGGCACAAAAGACCCCAGGCCCTGGGAGCCACCCTGAAGCCAGCACTTCCCTGGACGTGGCTGTGTGACTGCCTGCCTCTGCTTTTTTTTCTTTCAACGTTTTCACAACGTAGCCACGTCCTAAGCAGAGAATGCTGTTGCTTTGCGTTATTTCTCGGGGAAGCACAGAGGGCTTTGTGTTCAAGGGTACGCATGGCGTTAGGCTCCCAAGATATTAAAACCCGTAACTGTGCAGCACAGGAGCTGAGGGAGGGGTTGCTGGGTACAGACACCTCCAGAGCCGGACGCAGCATGAGGCCTGCAGTCGTCCAGGTGAAAAGGACAGAAAATGGGTGGCATAGTTATCCTTGCCTACGGGGGCTTAGGGGTTCTGTTCAGTGCATAACGTAGACATCCGTTCCTGCTGGTGGGCACGCCCACAGGAGGGGTGAGAGACCCTTCCGTTGACAGTGGCCCCACGAGGAGCTGCCCTTCAGGGAGCAGTGAAGTGACCCCAGGAAGACTTGGGACCCTCCACCCTGCACAGCCAGCTGGGTGCTTCCCTTCTGCCCCCGCCTGGGGCCCGGGTCAGCGCCAGCCTCGTCTCTCCGTAGGTTCAACTTTGTGGCCAAGAAGCTGCACCGACGGCTGCTGCAGCTCGGGGGCAGCGCCCTCCTGCCCGTGTGCCTGGGCGATGACCAGCACGAGCTGGGGTGAGTGCGGGGCGGAGCACCCTCCTGCAGGCCCAGCTGGGAGCGGGGTCCCCAGACCAGCGTGCACGTGCTCTCTGCAGGCCCGACGCCACCATCGACCCCTGGCTGCACGACCTGTGGGAGAAGGTGCTGGGGCCGCACCCTTTGCCCCTTGACCTCGGCCTGACCCCGCCCGGAATCCCGTAAGTGTGGCCTTGGGGCGGCGCCTGCAGGCACAGCAGGCCTGGCCTGGCCACGGACCTCCCTCAGCCGCTCATCCAGGCTGGCCAGTGGTCCCACAAGTGTCTTCCCCCTTCACAGTTGGCCCTCCAAGTTCACCCTGAAGTTCCTCCAAGAGGTCCCCAGCACGTGCTCTGAGGAGCTGCGTGTGGCCGGGACAGACCCTCAGGGACCCCCTTCAGAGCTACAGCCCTTCCTGGCACCCATGGTCACCAATCAGAGGGTCACCGGCCCCTCACACTTCCAGGATGTTCGGCTGATTGAGTTCGACATCACGGGCTCTGGGGTCAGGTGAGGGTTGGTCCTGGGGACCCGTGGGGGGCACGGCCGCAGCAGCGGGGAGTGGTCTGGGTCATCAGGTCCTCTTCCAAAGCGGGCACTCAGCGGGGAAGAGAAGAGAGACGGCGGCCAGGGAGGGGGGACCAAGGACCCCCCTCGCCCTCCCTGGCCGCTTGTTTCCTTCCTCTGAAGTCCCCCAGAGCCCTGGGTGTCCCCCACAGCTTTGTGGCCGGCGACGTGGTGCTGATGCAGCCCGAGAACACGGCCAGCCACGTCCAGCAGTTCTGTCAGGTGCTGGGCCTGGACCCTGACCAGCACTTCACGCTGCAGCCCCGGGAGCCGGGTGAGCCCCAGCCGCCGCTGCTGCCACCGTGCACTGCGCCCTCTTCTGTGTCCCCAGCCCCCAGGCTGCCCCCACCCGCGTCCCCAGCCCCCACAGCCTCCCGTTCCCCACTGCAGGTGTCTCCTGCCCCGCGCGGCTGCCCCAGCCCTGCTCCATTCAGCGCCTCGTGTCCCAGTACCTGGACGTCGCCAGCGTCCCCCGCCGCTCCTTCTTTGAGCTCTTGGCCTGCCTCTCCCGCCATGAGCTCGAGCGGGAGAAGCTGCTGGAGTTCAGCTCGGCCCAGGGCCAGGAGGAGCTGCGCGAGTACTGCACCCGGCCCCGCAGGACGGTCCTGGAGGTGCGGGCAGGGCCAGGCGGGCGGGCGGGCGTGTGTGGCCGTTCCAGCCGCGGCCCTCCTGAGGCTGTCTCCGCCAGGTGCTGTGCGACTTCCCACACACGGCTGGCGCCATCCCCCCGGACTACCTGTTGGACCTCATCCCCCTGATCCGGCCGCGGGTCTTCTCCATTGCGTCTTCTCTGCGGGTGAGGAGCCGGCCTCGGGGCCGCCAGGGTGGGCAGCGGGGCCCTGCGTGAGGGCTTTGGGCCTTCCCCAACCCTCACCGGCCACTGGGACCCAGCGGGTAAAGTGGCTGGAGCCTGAAGCAGGGCAGGGTGCCCCCTGTCCCCTCCCCCAGGCCCTCCCCTCGAGGCTGCAGGTTCTCGTGGCGGTGGTGAGGTACCAGACGCGCCTCAAGGAGCCCCGCCGGGGCCTCTGTTCCAACTGGCTGGCGTCTCTGGACCCTGGGCAAGGTGACCCTGGCTCTCTGGGGCGGGGGGCCGTGCGCAGGGCCCCGTTTCCCCGTGTGCACCACAGCCAGTCCCGGGCTAGGGCCCTGGGCCTCCGAGCTTCACGCCGCCTCCCTCCCGCGATAGGACCTGTTCGGGTGCCCCTGTGGGTGCGGTCCGGGGGCCTGACGTTCCCAAAGACACCAGACACGCCTGTGATCATGGTGGGGCCGGGCACTGGTGTGGCCCCCTTCCGAGCAGCCATCCAGGAGCGAGTGGCCCAGGGTGAGACCGGTGAGCACAGAGTCACAGGCCGGGTGGCGGCCGGGCTGAACTTCGAGGGCCCACGTCCTGGTTCAAGGCCCCCGCGCTTCCCCAGGAAACGTCTTGTTCTTCGGCTGCCGCCAGCGGGACCAGGACTTCTACTGGGAGGCCGAGTGGAAGGAGCTGCAGGCGCGGGGCTGCCTGACTCTCGTCACGGCCTTTTCCCGGGAGCAGGTGGGTGTGTGGGGGGTGGGGAGGGACGCTGCGGGGCGCAGACTCACCCCGTTCCCCCGCCCTGCAGGAGCAGAAGGTGTACGTGCAGCACCGGCTCCGGGAGCTCGGGCCGCTGGTGTGGGGGCTGCTGGATCTCCGGGGCGCTCACTTCTACCTGGCGGGGTGAGCCCGGGCGCAGGTCGTGGTGGGGGACCAGTGCCATGGGGACTCCGACTGTGCTGAGCCCTAGCCTGCCTCTCCCTCCAGCAACGCCAAGTACATGCCAGCTGATGTGTCGGACGCCCTGACGTCCATCTTCCAGGAGGAGGGCGGGCTCTCCGGCCCCGCCGCGGCCGCCTACCTCGCCAGGCTCCAGCGGACCCTGCGTTTCCAGACCGAGACGTGGGCCTGAGGAGCCGTCCTGCCGTTGGCCGCGGCCACTCTGACCGCGCTCTGCGGAGGCCATTGTTACCTCTCTCCCTGTCCAGTCCCAGCTGGGAGGACAGTCAGCTCTCCTTCCTACACAGACCCCCAGGCAGCCCACACCGTGCAGCCTGAGCAATAAAGGATGGGCTCTGGGCGGCCACTTCTTACCTGCTCTTCCTTGTGCCATCGTGCTTCTCGGGTGGGGGGTGGGCCCACAGCTCACCCGCCCTGCTGGTGATGGAACAGCCCGCCCTGCTGGGCGCAAGGGCACCGTTGCTCAGCCCCACACCTCGGTGCCCGATTCTCACGCGGTGGGTGCCAGCTATTTGCTCTCCTTGTACAAGCTCTGCCCTGGCCCTGACGGCCCAGTAGGGGGAGGCCTGGAGAGGCACCGGGCAAGGCTGGCGTCCACCATCCCCTCCCAGCCCAGGGCAGAGCAGCCCAGGGCCCTGGGAGGGACGGGGCGCGGCCTCAGGTGGGAGGGGTGGGGCGGGGCCCAGGCTGGTGCGGGAGGGACGTGTGCCTGGTGTCCCCACCCCGGCAGTGGAATTCCTG